TTCAAAGTGCTGAAATTAGACAGGAGAGGAACAATCAAACAAGCATATAATCAGATTCAAAGCATCAGTTTTTAAGCAAAGAGAACAGAAATTGCACCCCCAACAAACAATACCGATAAAATCAATGTTATTACTAGTATGCAAATCAGGGAAAAAAAAAAAAACTTACTCACGAGTTTGCCGAAGCCGGCGGACTGTCGGATGGGGTCGGGGTTGAAAAGCTGAAGCCGGCGACGGCGAGCCAACGGATGAAAGAACCCCTTCTCTTTTTTTTCTTTCTCTATTTGAAAGGGATTAGGTTTTTTTTACAGTTTTTCCTCTGCCCTGCTAGTCTGCTACTTCACGGCTTCAGCATTCTTTTCCCCACATATATTTTTTTTATTTTTTATTAATGGGAAATTACTAAATTACTAATATACCCTTAAAATTTTTCAAAATTACTAATATATGTATATATATATATTATATATATAAATTAGTAGAGCATTGGGGGATGCCGGGCCCCCCCCAGACCCCCCCTCCCTCCGCCACTGGTTACCTAGTCGGGGAAGTTGCCCTTACTGCTTCTAGTGGGTACTCTTACCTTAGTGTGATAGTTTGTATTCGGGTTAGTTTGCCTTCAATTGTACTTTCCGGTTGAGCAATATATCTTATCGTTTCAATATTAAAAAAAAAAAAATCAAGTTGGTCAAGGCTGACGATTTTAATGTATATACTTTGATTTTTTGCATTAAAAATATTATTTTTTGGTTGAATGAGAATCATATGTAATTAAACATTGGTTCTACGTCATGATGTTTTGATAAGTAGAATATCATACTATCAGTTACATGTGAAACAAAAATATTTGGTTCAGAATTTAAATAAAAATAAACAAATCATCAGGAACAGTTGTAATATAATTTGTATTTGTTGGTCTTGACTGAGGAATTGCACTAGTACGCTATAAGCGTATTGAACGAATCCCGTGGAGGATAATTTCATTTTATACTGACTATGGAAATAAATAGATAGTGGTAATTATTGCGTATTCTTAACATGTAAGATACTAACGAGTACGTGCACTTAGTAGCTGCTACCTTGATTCACTAAAAAGTAAGATCTATTATGTTGGATAATAGTCTAGGTGAATTGGGTAGTGATGTTGTTTGTATGGTGTGTTGTTCGATCATTTACGGTCACCGTGTGCGTTACTTTGATGTTATCCCCAAAATGAGCTCAACAATGATTATTTTGTCAAGTCCTATAGGTGAGTTGAATTCTGACATAATAATAAAGAAGTGAGTGATATTAGTTTCGGATCCAGAAGTAAATTAATTATATTGTCAGTAATTAAATTAATTGACGGACATTATATCTTAAATATGAAAAGATAAATCGAGTAATTAATTTGGAGCCTCAAATGTAATTTGAGTGTTAAATAGGGAGTTCAATAATATGTCCTCATAAACTGGAGTTGAAATAAGATGAGGGGGAAGAAGAATACATTGACTGTGTATATGGTGAGTTGTTTACGCTCGTCTGTCTCCTTTGGCGTGAAGGAAAAGAGTTCTGACAACAAGAAAAAACGGCGGAAGAGTCTGAAATATTATTCAAGTGTGAACAAAGTGGGCTAGACCCACAGTTGAATGCACACTTGAGGAACCCATATTCAGCACCTTCTTATGGTCCCTATTGTAGCCTATAATTATATCCCTTTTCTTAATGTTCCACATGCCTACTTCTCATAACAATACATAATTACACGACTTTTTTGAGTTCTCTTGAGACTGGAAATATCATTAGAAATCTTCGAGCTCATCGCCTACCAAGACGAACGAATAGGTGTCGGGATGTACAACAGACGATCCCCAGGTCATCTGAGACAATCATTCACCACAGGACACACCACCGCAGCTCCCGAGTCCTGACAATCACCGCGCAAAGCCTCAACCCGGAGACCACCGCACGCAGGCGCAACACGCGACACCAACAATGTAACACCCCGCTATATCGTAAATATCAGAGTTAAAATTTCGCAAAAACCTTTTCTTTAAATACTTATTAGTTTGCGAAATCATGACTCGGAGTGCTACCATAATTCATTACTTTGCTTTGAAATCTGTTACCTGTATTTTAGCTTTGAAGCAAAACGAATTATCATAATTAAGACAATCCGACTGGTAAATCAAAAAGGCTAAGTTTGACAAACATTAAAAGTCAGCGGAAATCGTAGCGTGGCAAAACATATATATTAATGCACGTGTAAGCGTCCTGGTCCGGTTTGGACGGATAGGTCTTGGTCCACGCCGGTAGAACGCCGGAAACCTGCAAATAACTCTCACACCGAGGGTTGTGTCCGGTGAAGAGCCTCCGATGCTTAAGTCAGTATGTGTATAAGTATACTGGAATTCAGAGAGTGAATAGAATGTGTTTGGGAAGAAAGGCTCACCCCCTTTATATAGGGGTGAGATACCTGCCCTAAGAGCTGCCCGGATGAGGAGCTGGCTGCCCAAGCTGCCCGTCCGTACTCTGACACGCCGCACACATGTCAGAGGTGGCGCAGGACGTTGGGAGTTGTCAGAGGTAGTTATCACCATCACCCAATACATTGTCGACACGTGTTTCCCCAGCACATGGGGTAAATATTCTCTGGAGATTTCAGCCAGAGGCTCCCACGCGCGCCTATGATACACGCGCCCATAACTAGGTCGATTACGAATTCCTCGAAGCGATCACCCTGCTGGGATCGACTAGCTTGCTCGATCATTAGCCTGGTCGAGCGATGGATTGCTCGATCATGAGTCTGGTCGAGCGATGGATTGCTCGATCATTAGTCTGGTCGAGCGATGGATTGCTCGATCATTAGTCTGGTCGATTCCCTGAATGTTCGATCTTCCCGCCTTTTGGTTCGGCTCCCTCTTGGTTTAACCTTCTAGACCGGCCCAGAAGACCGGTTTAGCTTTATGTATATAATATCCCATATCATCTAGTCCCCCCCACTCTGGTCGAGTCTGGATGACTCGATCTAAGAGTGAATTGGTATTTATCGACCTCCTCGATGATTCGTCATTCAATATCGACCAGGTAATAGGTTTCCTGCTCACATTTTCAAATAATTTCCCATTAATTGTTAGTAATAAAGTCGTCTGTTTCAAGTCCTTCCTGTCGCTCCTGCTTTTTCGCCACGCGTCACGCCTGTTCGCGTGTGTCAAGTACTTTAATGATGGCGCCCCCTTGCATAACGTGCCCACTTGGAGTACCGTGTAATTTAATTTTTTCCGCCGCACGATCCCACTTTAATCTGACGGTCCTCCTTTTTCACCCTTTAAACTCTCCAAGGTATAAAATCGGTACTTAGCAGAATTTCAGACTTTTTCCACCTTCATCTCTCCCAAATTCCTTTGCATTCAAAGTTCTCTCTGCCAAAAATCCTAGCTTCCGTCGGTGATTTTTCCTGCAATCTTCAAGTTTTCCCGATTCTCTCTCCCGTGATTATGAGTAAGTTGTTTTTCTCCTGATTTTGTACTTCCTGTATCTGGGCTTTTGTGTTTTGAGAAATTTTTTCTCTTTTTTTTTTTCGAATTGGGTATCTGAAGTTTGCTGATTGAATGTTTTGAATCTGTGCATTGAATTTTTGTGCTTGTCTTCTGATCGTTGTAGATTTTGCTCTTCCCCTTTGAAATTCTCTCGGAATCCCTGTTCCTTTTCTTCAAAATAGCCCCTTTCGTGGAACCCTAATTTTTAAAACCTTCTCCTCCTACCTTTCTCCTTTTTGCCAAAATTCCTCTTTTTGATATTGTTCCTCTCTACTTTTGTTTTCAGATCCTGCTACCTCGACCTCCTCTTCTGGTTCAGTTGAGATCTTGCCTTCCGCACTTGAAGTCGTTCCTCTCTCGATTCTTCGCCCCGGTTATACTGTTCCTACTCGTGTTTTCACAGCTCGTGTTGCTTCCTCCAACTCCGGCGACACCATGGATAACATTCCCCTCCGCAGCCGTCGACCTCCTCTTGGTGCGCTAGATGATCCAGAGGAGGACGAGGTTATTTCTTCACAGCCAACTGCTCCTCCCCCTTCAAATTCTCCCCCTGAACAGTCCTCAACCAAAAAACTTTCTAAGCGCTCATCTTCTACTACCCTTTCTCATCCCTGGTTTAACCCTGACAAAATCGGTCAACCTCTTGGTTGGGCGTTCATTAGATCTTCCCCTTCCGACCGGTATGATCATCCTCCGCGAGACTGTTA